TGTCACCCTCAGAGTGAAGAAGTTCTTCCTCATATTCAGACGGAACTTCCCATGCTTCAGTTTGTGCCCATTGCCCCTTGTCCTGTCGCTGGGCACCACTGAAAAGAGTTTGACCCCATCCTCCTGCATTACTATAAAGATCACATTCTCCCTTTTACTTACCTGGCAGATTTTAGCATCTCTCATTAGTTTTTCTACAGGACATTCAGTATTAAATCCATTTCCTCTAAAAATCTGTACTGCATCTGTAGCTACTTGGTTTGCAATGCCACCAGCAATTGCCATTGCAATGGAAGCATAGTAGGTATTCCTGTGACCAGCATCTCTGGTAAGCCATCCTAGCAAGTCCCACTTTCATTGTCATTTCAGCAAGCAAGAAAGACACTGCTTGGTGCTGTGAACGATGAAATAAACTAGGTTAACATTGCCTGCTTAAAATTCTGTGACATCCAAGAAAAATATAATCTCCTTAATACAGTGATCTCTTCAACAAACTCAGTAAATTGTACTAGAGGAGTTCTACAGAATAAGGATCATGCTCTCATAATTGTATGTTGAACTAGACTTTAAGTTTTTAATTCTCAAATCCATTTAGTCATAGGGATTAAATACTGAATTATTAAATTCTTTACAATTTATGAGATTGGTATTTACCTTGCTGTTTATTCATATTTGTTTAAACTGGTAAGTGGTGTGATTTGCAATGTATTCTATTAGTATTAATACTGTGTGTCTTATTTCACATAGCTCAGAGTTTTTTCCTTTCCTGAAAATCCCTGTTTATTATCACTGAAGAACTTAATTATGTCCTGAAAGTACATGAGTTCCAGGGCAGAGTTTTCTTTCAGCTTTTATTATTGTCATGATAAAGTACAGAAAAATTCCTGAAGTTACCACATAGCTAAGTTTACTCAAATGGTGCTGACCTATATACTTGGAAACCAAAAAATGGCAGAGATATAGAAAAATTAAGGGACTAAAAAAATCAAGGAATAACCTTGAAAAATCAGTCGTAGTACATCTGGTGTGAAAACACAGCTTTTATTTATATTCTCTCTCTCTCCTCCCCCCTCCCCACTTACTTCAACAATTGCTTTCCCAAAGGTTTTTCTCTCCAAAGCATATCTAGTAGCTTCATCAAGTCCTCTTTTTGCTAATCCAGCAGCACCAGCTGGTACCTGAACTGAACACAGGACAAAATGAAAAATCAGAAATTCCTGCTATATTTTATACGTAAGTTATTTCTGATACTTATGGGTGGTCTGGTCTTATCAAAAGCTCCCATTGCAATTTCAAAGCCAGCTCTCTCAGCTAGTAATACATTTTCTTTGGGCCTATTACATCTTCAAAGACAACACCTCTTGTAGCTGAGCAGTGTTGACCCACATTAATTTCCTGAAAAGTGAAATTTACAGAGGTGCAACTAAATTGGATTATTCAAAGGTACAATATGTTTTCATTCTTTAGTTTACTCAAAGCATAAAGTCCGCTTTTTTCCTCAAAACAATCTAAGAAGTACCATATACAGCACAAACACAAATTTTGCACTTGCAGACCAGCATGCCCTTAATTTGTCTAAGCTGGGTGGTTTACCTTCTCCTTATATGAAACAGTTCTGTAGCTGTAATTAGTCTTCTTGTCTTTCTCTAGCTCAACTATATCCTTTGAGATGGGAGTGGAAAAAGTAAAGAATCTAATAAGCAGGCAGTACAGGTATACTAGAAGTAAATAAATAAATAAATGAGCTTTTCAAGTGTTTGGATTCCTTTCCTAAAGTTCAACATCCAGTTTTGCCTACTACTAAAAATAGTACCTTTTTTTTTTTTCCTTTTTTTAAAGAGAGAGAGCTAGCACCAGTGTCTCCAAGGCCCCTTCCTTGACGAGCAGTAGCTAAAATTAAAGTTCACTCTGTGTATATTTATGGTTAAAATTGTCCAACTTGCTTCTTATCCTTTCAAGGCGTACTACCTTTCATTTATTGCCACTTCTCAATAAAATAGTTCTCAAAGATTCTTTTGCAGCTGTTCAAAGTCACCTTACTTTAGACCACTCTGAATAATTCCTTATCAGAATTAACAAAATTATAATTGTCTTATGAATAGTTTCTGTATGTTGTGAAAATGAAAACATCATTGTACATGACCAGATGAAAATGTTCAGTTGTGCAAGTCTTTTTTCTTTAATGGTAATTTGGTGCATTATTGGTTTAGAATTGAACAATAATTCCTGACTTGTCAGATAAGAGATACGGTCTTCACCTTTCTTCCAGTTTGGATTCCAGCGCTATCTGCTTCCACAATGAACCCAGTAAAGGCTCTGCTTGCAGGAACTTTTGGATCTGGACTGGTACGAGCTAGCAAAAAATACCTAGTGTAAAACAAAGAAGAGGGATGCAGTTTATCCTCACAATTAACAACCAAATACTTTCTTTAGCAAACATTTTAAATGTTTTCATGTGCATTTATACCATATGATAAATTCTATCTCGAAGTTAACAACCCTTTTTTCTTACCCCTCCCAAAACCAAACTGAGAGGGAGTGAGAGAGAAGCTTCAAAGATTCAACATTTCATAAAATGTAATAAAATTACTTCAACATGCAAATATTCTCCACCTCTTCCATGTATTGTAAGTCTTTATGATATTATTAGCTTCATGAATAGTACAAAAGAAACCTATTCAGAGCACGTGCATAAAAATTAATGCTTAGGAAACACATTCTTGCATGCAAAATGTTATGTTATCACCTGATTTCAAAGATCTTAATTTTCTTCTTCTAAGTATAAGCTGTAAATAAGTATTTATCTTAGAAATTGAACAGTTGTAAATCATATCTATGGTGTTCAGTAATGTCAGAAGATATCTGGTAGATTGTCCTTGATGGATCTGCCTTGAACAAGGAAACAAATAACTAGAAAATTCAGCTTTTGGATAAACATAAAGATTTTCCACTTGAATTAAGAATAATTCGTGTGTTGTGAATCAGTGTGATGTGAGACACGATGAGAAAGGTTTATATTGTAAAGTATGCTCCATAGGCACCACAGCAGTATCTGGATTCTTTGACAGCTGGAAAATGTTTTCCCTTCAGAAAATAAAATGTAACACCGCAATCCAACAGTGTTTCTAGCTTCACTAGAAGTGAGAGATATTTCTAGTAGAATCAGAAGCAACTGATCTCAATCACCACAACTACAAAGCAAGGTAGCTAGTAATATGAGCCTCTTGAGTCCTTTGCAAGTTAAATATCATACTGTTTGTTGTCCTGCCCTGAAGAAAAAGCAGCATTAATTTTGTTTGATAGCAGCAAGATTTGAGAGGCCTTCTTGAGTGAGGAGTTGTCATGTCATCACTCATTTTCCTTTTTAGGCTTTGCACAGCACTGAGACTGCATTCTTATACCCTATCCTGCAAACTGGTCAGAAATTAAAGTGTAGTGTGTTGAAACACAATGAACATTCAGATTTATAACAGATCTTTAACGAATTCAGCTTTCAGGGAGGGGGGAAGCCACTATATAACATAACAACAGAAAACATAACATGAGTTAAGAGTTAACATACCAGTTTGCTTTCCCACCGTTGTGATGCAAAATCTTGATGAGTAAGAGTTCCACTTTTAGGCAACCACAAATTATTGCAGACCGTGTGCATCAAACTGATCTGTAAAAGGTTTAAATAAACTGCATGGTAAAACCCAAAACGTTGAATAAAAAAAACCAAAACCATCCAACCCGAAAAAATCCAGAACAGCTGCCTGAGCAAGAATGCAAACGTATATGAGTTAATTTTCTTTATAAATCCATTATAATACATAAAATTGTCTTTTAATCAAACAGAACTGTTCTGTAACCCCTAAGTCATCCCTTCCTCAGGCTTCACAGACTCTGATGTGAAAGCTGAGGATCTTCAAAATCTGAAAATAAGAGCACTGAGTAACATTTTATGTTTACTGTGTCCTTCATTTTATGAGGCTTAGTTGTTTAGATTTTAATGCATTGTACGTGAATATTTACTTCTATGTAACAAGTACTGCTTATACAATATTTAAAATCACAAACAGAGTTTAATTCTCATCCAAGTTGAGTTTCTCCTTATACAAACCTCTTATTTTTCTCACACGCGTACACACCCTCTTGGAAGGGAAATAAAAGGTATTAATTTTTGGTAAGTGACTTAGGATGGGGATGATTTTCCAAGTAATATCTTCCATTTGCTTATTGAATGTATCTGCTTAGCTATTCCCTGACTTTCAATAAATGGCGCTGTTTATTTACAAACCAAAATGGTCTAAGTTATAAGTACATGTCAGAGTTTTCAGGGGAAGAAAAAAAGGGGGAAAAAAAAAAAAGAAAAGAAAAAGAAAAGGAGTAATACTGATTAGTATGGTTTAGGAACATTCTACACTGTAGCAGTTATACTTACACACATCATTGGTTCCTTGGTCATTCTTCCGAAGTATTTTTTCTGCTGATGCTGATTTTCTGCAATGATTACTGGCATTTGCTGAAAGAAAATATTTAGACCATTAATCCATGTTTTTAATATGCGCAGATTCTAGTTTAAGGGACGTAAGAAAAGACAGAACTTACCCCTAGGGAATTTGCTTCAATGGCAGATTGAACCCCTGTACATCCATAAGCTAACTCTTCTGTAATAAGGCATGCTTCAAAACTGCCAAGGCCAAGACCACCTACAGCTGAAATACTTCATTTATTAAAATGGGTTTAAATTGTAACATATTAATTAACAACAACATACTCCCCTACATACATTTGATCATGTACCATGTTTGATTAGACATTCTCATGCAAGCTTTTTAAATAAAGTTTTGCCAGAAGAGTAACAGGTGATTTGAAAATTACATGTCACAGTTCCAGGGTTATTGTGTGATTAATGTGGGGCAAGTTGCACAAAGTGCCAAGAATGTACCACTTAAACTTGTTGACTACTTTACTTTTGAGAATTAAGAGTTCTCAGGAAGCAGAGAAAGGGCTCCTGAGCTACCACAGCAGAGCGGCAAAAATAAAAAATGTCGATATTAGTCAGACAACCAACTCAGTAACCTGTTTCTGACAAAAGCCAACACTTTGGGAAATACATACAAATACAATAACAATACAACTATACTTCCTCAAAAATATTTTCCCAAGCCTTCAGGTGACTTCCTCAGCCAAAGAGATACCTCTTTTTTGGTATCTTTGTTATGCTAACCCTTGACAGACAATTCTTATGTGAATTTGCCCAGTCGCATTTTGAATCTATGTAAAATTTTAGCATCAGTATCATCCAGGGGCAATGAGTTTCACAAATTAACTACACACTGCATGTAGAACTATCTCCTTTCATTTATTTTGAACCTGTCATCTACTGACTTAATTGGAGGCCTTCTAGCTATATTGAAAGGGACACTGAACTATCAATCCCTTTTCACACTCTCCATGACACTGACATTTTAGTAATTTCTCATACAGAAGCTACATCTCACACATAAGATACATATCTTTTACAATCTTTGTCATCCTTTTAGGAACCATTTCCATAATACTCTTTTGAGATGGAAGGATCTGACTACACAATCAATTAGAGCCAAGTGCAATTTGGATTCAGGCAACAGCATAATTATGCCTTCTGCTTTTTTCTTGATTCCCTTAAAGGTCCCTTCTGACCTTAACTTTTATGGTTTTGAGCATTTCTGAGCATTATGCTGATGTTCACAGACCTGTCTATTATAAACCCACAAATCTCTTTTCTGAGAGGCAGTAGCTAGTTCAGAAGACAGCATTTCTCTGTGAAATTCAGATTGCTTCTTTCCCTTCACATGTGCATCACTTTTCCTTTTCTGAATTGCATTTGCCCTTTTAGCAGTCACTCAGTTTCATGACCTCCTGCAGCTCTTTGCACCAGCCTCATTTTTTCTACACTAAATAACTTAGTATTATCAGTAAAGTCTATCACCCCAGTATTGACCCCCTTTTCCAGTTTATCTATAGATACTCCAAATCACACGAGACTGAGCAAGGCTGCACTGCTAATTTTTCCACTATGAAACCTGATGATTTTTAAAACTGATTTTGGAAGTTCAAGCATTCTATATCAACCAGGCATCCCTTGTTCACACACTTGTTGGCTACTTCAGAGAACTCCAATGATTTTATGAGGCATGACTTCCTTTCACAAAACTCCTTCTCTAGCATATCAGATTTGCCTTTGTCCACTATTTCTGTACTTCATCTTGCTCTTAATTTACATGGTGTATCAGGCTTACTAGTATGTATTTTCCCAGATCTCCCCTGGAGATCTTTTAAAGCAATGGTGTCCAATCTGCCACTTGTAATTTTTCATTTAATAACTAATGGATTATGCACTGCAGTAGTCCAGCTATTTCAGCCTTTAGTTTCTCTAGAATTTGTGGCTGAATAAATCTGGTGCTCACAATTGCTCATTTTGTCTCTTTGTTCCTTAACATCATTTATTAAATTTTGGTACAAGACATACCCTCTGATTAGTCTTCAGAAAAAAGGTTTGCTGTGGACACTTCCCTAACTTCTTTTTCAGGTAATATAAATGCAAACAAGAAAATAATTTAATATTTTTTCCATGGTTACTGATTCGAAGATCCGGTAGGAAAAACCTAACAGTACAATGTATACTGTTAAGCAGGTATTCTTTATTGCCGCGCCGGGCACACGGGGGATTTCTCCTCCAAACATGCGTGCCAGACACCCTGTTGCTTCAGGTTAAATACAATCACACATGTAATTATTCATTATATTTCTAGGAACTGATTAGCATATGTAAATATCTTTCACGCATGTCTGTTAGTATCTTTGGGTGGTCTTCGGGGGTCCCAAGATGAAGGCCCATCCTCTTCATCACGCTGTTCACTGATTGACATTTGTTTCTGCACAAACTCAGTTCTAGCATCACGTATATCATGTCCTTCAGGTTGTTTTGCTCCGGTCTTGTTGCTCTCTTGGTGCCTCCTTATCTCTGTAGCTTAGCGCATTTGCCCTCCCAAGGCCGAGCTGTCTGGACTAGAGTTATTTAGGAGTCTCTTTTATCCCACAATTATCCCAATTATTTGCTGAGAATCAAGACCACTTTTGTTTCACTTAATTATTTTGTCTAACGACTACGTGATAGCTTGTGCCCATGTCCTTCCACTACATTCCTTAATGAGAAAACAGGGATTAGTGTAACAGTTATATTGTTAGATCGCTATGCATGCAGAAATACAAGTTACAGTACTAAAGACTACTAAAAACTAGAAAATATTAAGGCTTTTTGTTATAGTTTCACATTTCTTACAATCCCCTCTATCATTACTCATGTACATAAATACTGCCGAAGCACTGCTGTACTGCATCTAAGCTAAACTGAAAAACTGTCCTTCTGGAATAAACTCTTAAATTGCTCCAGCCTGTGTCAGAGACTAGAACAAAATGTGACCTTCTAATTTCTCTGCCTAATCAGCTGACACAGTGCACCAGGGGGAACATTAGGCAGTTGTAATCATGGTAGGAAATCTGGTCATAAATTACTAAATCATAATCTCTCTAAGTTGTCTCCTGATTACATCCACACCTAGTAACAGTTGTATGTGTCAACCTGCCTACTGATTAAATGTAATTATTCAACTATGCAACTGTTTATTCTATACAGAATCCATAATTACACATATAAATCTCATCTAATGCCTTTTCTTTGTTTCATTTCACAGATTAAAAAGAACGTTTACCTACCACAGCTTTCTGGTATGTGAATTCATAAGACCAAGTTCCCAAGTCTGTTTTATAAGTGGAAGAGGATACTGAAATAGACAGGGGAAAAATCACCTGATTCATCACAATCAACATTTTAAATTTGATGCAGGTTAAGAGAAAAGTCTATTTTTTCCCTTACACTATGGTAGATTTACCTCTCCAGTCTTGTCATATTGTGCAGCAACAGGAATAATTTCCTCCACAGCAAATTTATGAGCAGGACCTTGAAACTCTTGCTGTTCATCAGTAAATTCTATTTAAAAAAAACAAAACAACAACAAAAAAAACCCCAAACAAAATAAAAAAAAGAGGTCACATTTTCTACTGTCTTTAATGTTGCCAGTTGCCAGACTATAAGAAAAGAGAAAGCAAGAGTGTCCTTCTAGGACAACCCAAACCACCACTTCCTGGGCCTCTCCAGGAAGCAAAAAAGCTCAGCTTCCTCTTCCTCCTGGGAGAAAACCTCCACTGTTCTCTCGTTAACACCTACAATGCACGCGCTTAATTCTGACGAAATTTTCCACAAAATATTGAAAATTGAGTAGAGAAGACTGCATAACTAAAATGTATTACCAAAAGAAACCAGAAGAATGCTGTGGTAATTGAAGGGAAGAAGAGAAGGAGGCAGATGTCATCCAAAGATCCTGACTATTCAGTTCAAACATCTAGCTGCTGACCCACTAAATTTGCTTTATGTATATAATATGCCAAGATGAGGATGAAATTTTTTTATGACATTTCCCTATAACCAAGTTCAACTACGACTACATTTAGTTGCTTTAACATTGTAAACGGCAAAGTAAGACAGTTATTCAAGGCTGAGACACTTTGGCAATAAAAAAGCTTAAGGCAGACATGAATTAAAAAAAAAGAAGAAAATCTTACAAACACTACACAGATAACTGACTTGCCTGAGATGAGGAAGAAAGTAATTTCGGTTTTCAAACATTGTTTTTAAATCTATTCAGAATAAACATCTTCATTTTACATTCATGTTGAACTGCAATATAGGATTTTATTTTTTTAACTCTGCAATTTGCCCTTAATTGCTATATTTCTTTCAAAAGCTGTAATACTTACCAAAGCTAAAGCCAGCTCCAAGTTTGCCTATATGTAAGTTTTGAGCAGATTTACTAGAATGTCACCTCCATCCATGCCCTGCAATGGTCTGAAGCATTTGCTAAAGAGAAAAAGAACATGAGGTGCAAGATCTTCACTTCATCTCTCATTTATACACACACTTATCAAACCTGATTTTCTTGTCCACTAGTGAATATTCTATCTATCCAATGTTTACCTACATGCAGATTTAGCAAGACTTTAAAAACAACCTACCTATTAACCAAGGAGCTGGAAGCCATTATACAGCAGGACAGCTATGACTTGGTTGCCATCACAGAAACGTGGTGGGACAACTCACATGACTGGCATGCTGTCATGGATGGCTACAGACTCTTTAGGAAAGACAGGCCAACAAGGAGAGGTGGTGGAGTTGCTCTATATGTGAGGGAGCAACTGGAATGCATTGAGCTTGGCCTGGGGGCAGATGAGGAATGAGTTGAGAGCTTGTGGGTTAGAATTAAGGGACAGGCTCATAAGGGTGACATTACGGTGGGTGTGTACTACAGGCCACCTGACCAGGAGGAGGAAATTGATGAGGCCTTCTACAGGCAGCTGCAAGCAGCCTCACAGTCACAGACCCTGGTTCTCATGGGGGACTTCAACCACCCTGACATCAGCTGGGAAGACCATACAGCTAGGCAGGCACAATCCAGGAGGTTCCTACAGAGCATCGATGATAACTTTCTGATGCAAGTGGTGGAGGAACCAACAAGGAAAGGCGCTCTGCTGGACCTTGTATTAACAAACAAGGAGGGACTGGTGGAGGACGTGAAGGTTGGAGGAAGACTCGGCTGCAGTGACCATGAAATGGTCGAGTTCAGGATCCTGCGTGGAGGAAGCAGGGCGATAAGCAGGATCAAAACCCTGGACCTCAGGAGGGCTGACTTTGCCCTCTTCAAGGAGCTACTGGGAGGAATCCCGTGGGCCAGGGCTCTCAAAGGCAGGGGGGTCCAAGAG